CTGCTCTTGAGCTGATGCAACGTTGCCTGTGCCATCTTATTTTGTGTTAAATGCTGCAGTGTTCCAAAGCACGCTTATGTGAAATCCTTTTAACCGCATGGGTGGTTGTTGGGGGGCTTTTGATGGTGGTTTTTTGGGGGGAGGGGGGCTTTTGTTTGCCTGTTTCTTTCTCTTTTTTTCCTTTCTGAATAAAAAGGTTGCATCTTCTGCTCCCGAGAGAAATCCCTGTTCGCCTTCACATTCTCACATACGCTTAAAATAGCATCCTGGTGACTCATAATTTCTTATAGCTCCTTACCTGCTGCCTCGCTTTAACAAAACCTTTCAGGATCGACCCTGCCCCCCCCCCCCCCCCCCCAGCTTTAAAGCAAACGTTTTTTTCCGAGGAGATGCGCTTTTCTCAGCCAGACGTATTTTTCGGGACTGTCTCAGGTCATCTTCCACAGAAACGTGGAAAAGCAGCCCTCAGGACCAAGGGGGACTGGAGCCCTGGCCAAGAGAAATGTGTTTAATTCTCTAAACGTGCGTGTCTTAATAAATTTCAGAGGAAGCTTCTGGTATTCGCCTACCAGGGGTTTATGCCCTGTTCTGCACATGGAAAAACCTTCTCCAGAAATGGACTTTGTTGGGAAGATGCTGTAAAGGCTCAGATGACCCCATTTTCAACAGCATTTAGTGTGTTCCTACCATAGCCGTTTTTGTATTAAAATTCCTTTATGTTGTTTTAATTCAAGATTGCCCTCAGTAACCTCAGTATTGCTTATTCAGTTGGTGGAGACATTACTATACCATTACTTTCATTTCTATCCCACAATAAAGTACGTGACAGATCATCCTTGTCCGTTGCAAATGATTTTAACCAGCTTTGATGTGCCCAGGACTGTATGCACGTTGATCATCTTTCCAAGCATCTCCTCTGTCCATCTCGATAGAAGAGATGTTTGAAAGTACATCTATCAATGTGGTTGTTATTTTTTTCCTTAGGGTAGATGGCTAATGTGTGAAGACAGTGATGGAAAAAAAGATAGGTACACATGTGAAGTGGCAAAGTCATACAGTCCATTTTGGTTTTCTCATTTGTCAAACAGGAAAATATATATTTTCCTTGAAACATGTTCTGAGGTTTAAGGCTTTAAATCAAAGACAATTATAAGAAAACCCCTTTCTTCTTTAGTTCAATGTGTTTCAAAGGAAGCACCCTCCTTTTAAATGCAGGGAGGGGAAGGTATGGAGAAGTTACAGTCTGCCCAGACCCTTTCAGCAAGCAGTGACAAGACGGAAAGAGACATTTGTTTGGTGACTTGGACCTGTGTGTGGTCTAAGTATTAAACATGGTTGCCTTCCAGATGGGTTAATGTTTGCAGAGTAGTTTGCTAAAGCACTGCATTACTATCTGGAGGCAAAGCGTGCAACACTACGAATGACACTGCAAGATTTTTTTTTCTTTATCTTCCACAATCTGGAGACTCAGCAGATCCCCATTAATTATCTCTGGCTGCCCTATATATCTTAGACAGGCTGTATTTGAGAGATCTTTAATTAATCCCCGAGAGAAACATTCATTTGTACTAGTGAACTAGATCTTCACATCCTAACCTGCCTGCCATCCCTACTGAGCCATAGGCCACTAAGGAAAACCCAGGGCGCCGGTCTGTGCATATCACTTGTTTCTTAGATTTCAGTGCTCTTTCTGGAGAGTGCTGTTGAAAAATTTTGCTTCCCTATAAACATAAGTTAATTGTTTTCTGTGAAGTTCTGGAATTTATCAATAACCGCAGCAGTGCCATAAGTTACAGACTTAACACTTGAGATATAAGGTTCTGTGAGAGACGTGGGAGAAGGCATAGAGGCTGGCGAGTAAGGAGTCAAGAAAAGGAGATATCCATTCCGTAGCATTAAATGGAGGATGGCCCCTCGTGGTACCAAATCTATCCACTAGGAACTGAACTGAGATAAGCAACTTTCACAGGTATTTTCAGCAAGGCAGTGGCTTCTAGTGCCTGTTGTGTGGATTGTCTTTGAACCAAGGATTCAAAATGCATCTCGGAGTGGATCGATTTTACTCCAGTGTTTGAAATTCAAAATGATTTAAGCTGAAAAGAAGAAAATCTTATTAACCGAAATCAATTTTAATCTTCTCCTACATTTATACTTTCTTATTCACAAAGGAATGTTCATTTTCTTTTATTGGTTAAAACATTTTGGTCTATCGCTATGCAGTCATGGCACTAAATTCAGTAAGAAGAGGGCTCTTTCTCTATGTGTTTCTGTTATTCTGTAAATGTATTGTCCAGATT